TAAATATATCACTCAGGAGACAGAGAGTTGGAGACTGGATAAGAAAACATGACCCATCAGTATGCTGTCTGCAAGAGACTCATGTTAGACACAAAAGCAAAAATAGACTGAAAATCAAAGGTTGGGAAAAGATATACTAAGCAAATGGCACCCAAAAGAAGAGTGGCAATATCAACTTCTGATAAAATAGTCTAAGACAAAAATGACCATAAGAGACAAGGTAGGACATTATATAATGATCAAAGGATCACTTTAATGAGAGGACATAACCATAACAAATATCTGCGTATCCAGTGAAAGAGCCCCTATATAAATAAATAAAGCAGACTTTAAAAAAATTCAAAGACAAATAGATGACTCCACAGTAATAGTGGGAGCCTTTGTACATCACTTTCAATAAAAGATAGAACAACTGAAAAAAAAACTCAACAAAGATGAAGAACTGAACAATGCAATCAACCAATTTGACCTTATAGACATCTACAGAGCATATCACCCAACAACAGCAAAATATACATTCTTTTGCACCACACATGGAACATTCTCTGGGATTGACCTTATGTTAGGCCACAAAGCAAGCCTCAATAAATTTAAAGACATTGAGATGCTGAAAAGCATCTTCTCAAATCACAATGCTATATAATTTAGAGATCAACACTAGGAAGACCAATGGAAAAAGAGCAAACACATGAAAACTGAATAACACCCTCCTAAAAAATGACTGGGTACTAGAAGAAATAAAAAATGAAAGTAAAAAATTCCTGTTTAATGACCTTTTGCTTTCTTCATGGATGATGTTCTTCAAGGCATCCCATAATTCCTCTGGTTTTCAGTCATTGGTTTTCAATGCATCAAATCTATTCCTTATATGGTCTCTAAATTCAGGAGAAATATAGTCAAGTTCATATTTTGGCTCTCATGGATTTTATTTAACTGCCTTCAGCTTCAACGTGAACTTGCATATGAGCAGTTGATGGTCTATTCCACAGTCAGTTCCTGGCCTTGTTTTGGCTGAAGATATTGAACTTCTCTATTGCCTCTTTCCACAGATGTAGTTGATCTGATTCCTGTGTACTCCACCTGGCAAAGTCCACGTATATAGCCATAGTTGATGTTGTTGAAAAAAAGGTACTTGCAATGCATAACTCATTGGTCTTGCAAAATTCTGTCATGCTATCTCCAGCATTATTTCTTTCACCAAGGCAATATTTTCCAACTACCACTAATTCTTCTTTGTTTCCAACTTTTGCATTCCAACCACCAGCAATAATCAATACATTTTGATTGTATCTTTGGTCAATCTCAGACTGCAGAAGTTGGTAAAAGTCTTCAATTTCCATGTCTTTGGCTTTGGTGGTTGGTGCATAAATTTGAATAATGGTAATATTAACTGGTCTTCCTTCTAAACTCAAACTAAACTCACTGCTGTTGAGTTGGATCTGACTCATACCGACACCTCCATGGGTTTCTGACGCAGTGTCACTATGGAGGTAGATTGTCTGATCTTCCTTCTGAGGAGTAGCTGGTGGGTTTGAACTGCTAGCCTTCTAGTTAGCAGTCAAATGCCTTAGGCACTACACCAGCAGAACTCCCTAGTCCTCCTTGTAGGAGTATGTATATTATCCTATCACTGATAGCATTGTACTGCAGGATAAATCTTGAAACATTCTTTGTGACAATGAATGCCATGCCATTCCTCTTCAATTTGTCATTCCCAACGTAATACATCGTATGTTTCTCTGATTCAAAATGGCCAAAACCAGTCCATTTCAGCTCACTAATGCATAGGATATCAATCTTTATGCATTCCATTCCATTTTTGAAAACTTCTGATTTTCTTAGATTCATACATTGTACATTCCGTGTTCTGATTTTTAATGGATGTTTGCAGCTCTTTCTTCTCATTTTGAGTCATGCCATATCAGCAAATGAAGGTCCAAAAAGCTTTCTCCATCCACATCATTAAAGCAGCTCTACTCTGAGGAGGCAACACTTCCCCAGTCATATTTTGAGTGTCTTCCAACCTGATAGGCTCATCTTCCAGCACTATATCGGACAGTGTTTCAGGGCTATTCACAAAGTGTTCCAGTAATATATCACACAGTATGTCACTGCTATTCATAAGGTTTTCATTGGCCAATTCATTGAGAAGTGGATGGTCCTTTCCTTCTTCTGAGTCGTCTTAGTCTGGAAGCTCCACTGAAACCTGTCCACCATGGGTGACCCTGCTGGTATTTGAAATATTGGTGGCATAGCCTCCAGCCTCACAGCAACATGCAAGCCATGATAGTACTACAAACTGACAGACAAGTGGTGGCCTTCACAAATAGTGCTGGTAAAACTTGGTATACATTTTCAGAAAAAATAAAACAAGATCCATACCTTATACCATACACAAAAACTAACACCAGATGAATCAAAGACTTAATTGTGAAACCTAAAACTATGAAGTTCATCAAAGAAAAAGTAGAGGCATAATTGGGAGCCCTAATTTATGGTATAACTAGATTATCAAGCATAACCCAAGATGCACAAACAGCCAAAGATAAGCTAGATGAATGGGACCTTCTAGAAATTAAATTCTTATGTGCATCAAAAGTCTTCTCCAAAAGACTAAAAAGAGAACCTACAGAACGGGAAAAAAATATTTGGCAATGACATATCAAAAAGGACTTATCTCTAAAATTTATAGAAAACTCCAACACCTCAACATCAAAAAGACAAACCATCCAATTCAAAAGTGGGCAGATGACATGAACAGATAATTCACAAAAGAAGATATCCAAACAGCCAACAACATATGAAGAAATGTTCATGATCATTAGATGTTGGAGAGATGAAAGTCAAAAGAACCATGAGATACCATCTCACCCCAGCATTAATAGCAAAGTTCAACAAGATGGAAAATAACAAATGCTGGTGAGGATGTGGAGAGATTGAGACTCTCATACACTACTGGTGGGTCTGTGAAATAATACAACCACTGTGGAAATCAGTATGGCAAGTCCTTAAAAAGTTGCAATTAGAAATGCCATTTGATCCAGCAATCCCATTACTGGTACATATCCTAAAGAACTGAGAGGTAGGACACAAATAGATCTAAGCACTCCCATGTTCATCACAGCACTATTCACAATAGCAAAGAGATGGAAACAACCTAAGTGCCCATCAACCAAGGAATGGATAAACAAACTGTGGTACTGTGGTACATACACACAATGGAATACTATGCAACCCTAAAGAATAAGGTAGATTCTGCAAAACACCACATAATGTGGATGAACTTGGAGGACATTATCCTGAGTGAAATTAGTCAGTCACAAAAGGACAAATATTGTATTATTTCACTATTGTAAAAAGTGAAGGAAAAGTTTATACATGGAAGGAAACTTCCTTTGTTGGTTATCAGGGATGAAGGGGAGGGGAGAGGAGGCTAAATTCCTAGATAGGTTGTGTGTGGGGGGAAATAATAATATATGTATATATATACACACACACACACACACATATACATACACACACATATACATACATATATATGTATATACCAAAGATTATTAGTGGTTACCCAGGGTAGGATGGAAGGGGAAAGGGGAAGTTTCCATTTGTGGGGCATTGAGTTTATGCTAACGGTGGTAGAATATTTTGGAAAAGGATAGCAATAATGGTGGCACAACATGAAACTTTTCATCAGTGTTTCTGAGCTGTAAATGGAAGGTTGGTACATTGCCAGAAGTCTTGTTGTGTACATTTTCCCCACCATGAAAGTAAAAAAAGAAAAAAAAAAAAAAATGGAATATGTAGTCTCTGACCAGGAATAAAGGGAGAGGTGGTGTCTTCCCAGGTACCAAGTGGCTGATACTCTCTTACCAGGGAAAATGGAGATCGATGACAATTCCTTGTATCTGTATAGCAATTTATATTTTATGAAGAGCTGTCAAATAAATTGTTGCATTTGATCTTCATATCAATTCTATAAGCATTGTAGGGTTTTATTATGAGGAGATGCATGCAAGGAGAATGTAGCTCTAGTCATCTAAGTGGTTGGACTGAGAATTAAACCCATGTCCAGTGGAGATTGACCAGGTGACCAAATGGCAGAAAAAGAGGATTTTTCTCTTCTTATCCTGAGTCTGAGGAAGAGTCATTCAAAAACTGTCAACCCAAAATTAGTAATTGAATGAATAAATGAATTAATAATATGTATATATTGTTTAAAATTTATAAAATAAAGTAAGTGGAAAAGAAATGTAATGATTGCATGTTCAGATAATGTGTTCTTTACATTTGTGGCATTAATGCTTCTGAAATTATTAAAGCTTAAAACTTGTCTAAGACTTTTAAGACACCCCTACATCACCAGGACCATCACTCTGTATAGTTTTGTCAGCTCAAAAGCTAAGTTTTAGGTTGATTGTGTTTGTGTTTAGTTTCAGTTTTGCTTTGAGAAGAAAGGGACAGGAAAGGAAGTATGTAGTGCCTGGAGCATTCCTATTTATTCACCAACAAGGAACTGCAATAGAATAAGTTTTCAAGGCCTGTGTCTCATAACAACTACATTATAATCCATATAATAGTAATTTAATAAAGTAATACTAACAAAGTAATATTGGTAAAAATTAAGCAATAATTGGTAAAATTTATCATAATAAAATTATAGAAGAATGTTGACAATTCTGCAGAAGTAGAGGGTACATGAATTTGTGAAGCATGAACATCTATGTATTAGCCTGCTGCTTTCATTTTTCAATCATTCTGTAATGTATCCATATTTTTCTGTTCAGAAAAGGTCAATTCTATTTTATGCAATTCCTTATCTTGACATTTAATAAACACTTGAAATATTTTTTATAGTGCAGAAAATGAAGGTATTAGAGTTTTACTTATGCAAAATGGGATTAAAGTGCTATACATTTATTTTAAAACATTTAAACTTTTTTTTTTTTCTTTCCTAACAGTTAAAACACAAAAACAACTCACTGTCTGATTTTTCTTTTCAGATGTAAATGTGGAACCCTATAGGACTTATGAGTATAGGCTTTCTGCATGGAATAGCTATGGGCGAGGATTCAGCAATGCTGCTATAGCCAGCACAAAAGAAGACGTGCCCCAAGGAGTGAGTCCCCCTAGATGGACCAAAATGGATAATCTTGAAGATGTAATAGTCCTAAACTGGAAGAAACCAATACAACCGAATGGTATCAAGCTACTTTTTTTTAACATATATATAATTTTTTTGTGATTTTAAGCCAATTGGTTTTCCATTTGGCAGTCCATACACATTCTGTTTTGTGACATTCACTGCAATCCCCACACATGTCTACTGTCTAGTTAGTGGGGTTTACTTTCCCTTTTCCCACTCATGATAATCTTTAAAGAATGATTCTTTCTCTGTGTAAACCATTCTCAGACATGTTGTATTAGTGGTCTCATACAATATATATCCTTTTGTGACTGAATAATTTCACTCAGCATGATGTCCTCTAGGTTCATCCATGTTATGAAATGTTTTGCAGATTCATCATTATTCCTTAATGTTGTATAGTATTCCATTGTGTGTATGTACCATAGTTTTTTTAATACATATACATTTATCCATTGATGGGCACGTAGGTCGTTTCCATCTTTTTGCTGCTGTGAATAAAGCTACAATGAACACAGGTATGTATATATCCATTTGTGTTGTGGGGCTTATTTCTCTAGGATATATAACTAGTAGTGGGATTGCTGGATCATATGGTATTTCTATTTCCAACTTTTTAAGGAAGCACCATACTGCTTTCCACAGTGGTTGTACCATTATCCATTCCCACCAGCAGTGCATAAGTGTTCCAGTTTCTCCACATACACTCCTCAGCATTTATTGTTTTCTAGTTGTTTTTTTTTTTTTTTCAATTTTGCTATTATTGCTGGGGTGAGATGGTATCTCATTGTTTTGATTTGTATCTCATTTATGGCTAGTGATCTCAGAAGAAGGAAGAGGCCATCCACTTTTCAAAGAATTGGGCAGTGAAAACCTTATGAATAGCAGACAAATGTTGTCTGATATATTGCTAGAAAACTTTATGAATAGCCCTGAAACATTGTCTGATGTAGTGCCAGAAGATGAGCATCTCTGGTCAGAAGGCATTCAAAATACAACTGGGGAGCTGCCTCCTCAAAGTAAAGTCAACCATAATGATGTGGTTGGAGTAAAGTTTTTGGGACCTTCATTTGGAGCACAACTCAAAATAGGAAGAAATGGCTGCAAACATCCATTAATAATCAGAATGTGGACTGTACAAAATATGAATGTATGGAAATTGGACATTCAAAAATGAAGTGGAATACATAAAGATTGATATCCTAGACATTAGCTGAAGTGGACTTGTGTTGGCCAATTTCAATCAGACAGTCACATGCCAAGAATGACAAATTGAAGGAGAATGGCATGGCTTTTATCATCACAAAAAATGTTTCAAGCTCTATCCTGAAATAGAATGCTGTCAATGATAGGGTAATATCCATAGGCCTACAAGGAAAACCAGTTTATACTACTATTATTCTAATTTATTCACCAACTACTAAAGCCAAAGATGAGAAAACTGAAAATTTTTACCAACATCTGCAGTCTGAAATTTACCAAACATGGAATCAAGATGTATTGATTTTGGGTGATTGTTCCACTAACTGTGGAACAGGCCATCAATTGCTTATAAGTAAGTTCAAGTTGACATTGAAGACAATTAAAACAAGTCTATTATAGCAAAAGTTGTAAACAAAGAAGAATCACTGGTAGTTGGAAATTATGGCCATGGTGATAGAAATAACCCCAGATATCACATGATAGAAGTTTGTAAGACCAATGACTTATCATTGCAAACACCTTTTTCAACAACATAAAGAGTGGCTATACACATGGACCTCATCAGATGGAATACACAGGAATCTGACTACTTCTGTAGAAAGGGGCAATGGAAAAGCTGAATATCTTCAGCCAAAACAAAGCCAGGAGCTGACTGTGGAACAGACCATCAATTGCCCACATGCAAGTTCAAATTGAAGCTGAAGACAATTGAAACAAGTCCACGAGAGCTAAAGTATGACCTTAATTTTATCCCACCTGAATTTAGAAACCATCTGAAGAATAAATTTGATGCATCAAACACCAATGACCAAAAACCAGACTAGTTGTGGGCTGACATCAAGAACATCACACATGAAGAATGCAAAAGCTCATTAAAAAGACAGGAAAGGAAGAAAAGTCTCAAAATGGATGTCAGAGGATACTCTGAAACTTGTTCTTGAATGGAGAGTAGCTAAAGCAAAAGGAAGAAATAATAAATAACAAAAGATTTCAAAGAGCAACTCAAGAAGACAGAGTCAATTAGTATAATGAAATGTGCAATGACCTGAAGTTAGAAAACCAAAAAAGGAAAACATGCTCAACATTTCTCAAGCTGAAAGAAATGAAGAAAAAATTCAGGGATCAAGTTGCAATATTAAATGATTCTATGGGGAAAATATTGAATGATGCAGGAAGCATCAAAAGAAGATGGAAGGAATATACAGAGTCACTGTACAAAAAAAGTATTGGTCAATGTTCATCTATTTCAGGAGGTGGCATATGATCAAGAACCAATGGTATTGATGGAAGAAGCACAAGCTGCACTGAAGGAATTGATGGAAAACCCACTGAGATCTTTTAACAAACAAATGCCACAGTGGAGGTGCTTACTCATCAACACCAAGAAATTTGGAAGACAGCTCCCTGGCCAACTGACTGGTAGAGATCATTATTTATACCCACTCCAAAGAAAAGTGATCCAACAGAATGTTGTTATGGAACAATATCATCAATATCACACGCAAATAAAATTTTGCTGAAGACAATTCAAAAACAGTTGCAGCAGTATATTGATAGGGAACTTCCAGAAATGCAAGCTGGATTCAGAAGAGGAAATGAAACATGGGATATCATTGCTGAGATCAGATGGATCTTGGCTGAAAGCAAAGAATATCAGAAAAACGTTTACTTGTGTTTTATGGACTATGCAAAAGCATCCAATTGTATGGATCATAACAAATTATGGATAGCATTGAGAAGAATGGGAATTCCAGAACACTTAATTGTTCTCATGAAGAACCCATGAGACCAGGAGGTTGTCATTCTGACAGAACAAGGGGATACTGCATGATATAGAGTCAGGAAGGGAGTGCTTCCAGGTTGTATCCTTTCATGGTACTTATTCAATCTGTATGCTGAGCAAATAATCCAAGAGTTGGACTTTATGAAGAAGAACATAGCATCAGGATTGAAGAAGACTCATTAACAACCTAAAATATGCAGATGACCCAACTTTGCTTGCTGAAACACTTACTGATGAAGATTAAAAACTAGTCTGAAGTATGGATTACACCTCAAAATGAAGAAAATAAAAATCCTCACAAGCATCAAATAGATAAATATCCTCATGATAAATGGAGAAAAGATCAAAGTTGTCAAAGATTTATTACTTGGATTCACAATCAATAGTAATGGAATCAGCAGTCAAGAAATCAGACTTCTTATTGCACTGGGCAAATCTGCTGGAAAATACCTCTTTAAGTGCTCAAGAACAAAGATGTCTCTTTGAAGACTAAGGTGCACCTAACCCAAGCCATGATATTTTCAGTCACCTCATATGCATGTGAAAGCTGTACAGTGAATAAAAAAGATTGAAGAAGAGTTGATGCTTTTGAGTTGTGATGTTGGGGAAGAATATTGAAAGTACCATGGACTGCCAGAAGAACAAACAAATCTGTTCTGGAAGAAATGAAGCTGAAATGCTCCTTGAAATTGAGAATGGCCAGAAGATTGATTGAAGAGAGACTGATAATTGCACCTTAGATGGCTGCTTGCAAACTTTTAAGACCCCAATCAATACTCACCAAAGTAGGATGTAAAACAATGTCTTTGGGGGGTATATTACGTGAATTGACCTTGTTTGTCCTCTGTGATTATGGTTCTGAGCTCACAGGCTCAGTGACCCACTCCTTCATGGTGTTTTGTTACGTTTGAGAAGTTTTCATAACTTTGCCCCATTTAGCTCTACTATATACATGGATGTTTTTACAACACATACATATTAAAGATAATAATAAATAACTCACTGCCATCACGTCGACTCCAGCTTATGTTGTTGTTGTTGATATGTGCTTTCAAGTCAGACCCGACTCATAGTTACCCCTCCTTGGGTTTTAAGACAATATCACTAAGGAAGTAGATTGTCCAACCTTACTTCTGAGCAGTGTCTGGCGGGTTTGAACTGCCAGACTTCAGGTTAGCAGTCAAGTGCCTTAGGCACTATGCTGCCAGAGCTCCTAGCAGCCCCCATTGGGTTTCTGAGGCAGTAAATCTTTATGGAAGTAGATTGCCCCCATCTTTCTTCTGAGGAGTGCCTGGTGGGTTTGAAGCACCAACCTTCTCGTTAACAGTCAAATGCCTTAGGCACTGTGCCACCAGAGCTCCTAGTGCACATACACATAAGTTTATAGAAATATAATCTGCCAAACCTATCTACAGTCATGGGCATTGGCCCATTTGTCTATTCAAACCTAATCAACTTGCCTACTTACCTATGTATCCAATTGTAGATTAATGTTTGTTATTACTGGTAATGCAGGATTGTGATATGTGAATGTGATTGTGAAATTGTGTTTACCTTTGTTGTTGGTACTATTATGCACCTCTCTGTGTCCACCTTTCCCTTAGTGATATCATGCTAGTCATCTTAGTATATTGCCTTTCTCTTCACTCATAATAATTCCTATTTAGTAATCTTCCCTCCCCTTCCCATCCATCCCTGAGAACTATCAAATAATGTTTCTTTCTGTGTGGAAACCTTTCCTTTAGTTTTTATAATAGTGAACTCATACAATATCAGTTCTTTTGTGATTGACTTATTTCACTCAACATAATGCCCTCCAAGTCCATCCACAGTAAGAGATGTTTCATGGATTCTTCATTATTCTTTAATATTGCATAGTACTCCATTGTGTGTATGTGCCATTGTTTGGTTATCCGTTTTTCTGTTGATAGGCATGTCATTGTTTCCATTTATTTGCTATTGTGAATAGTGCTATAATGAACATGTGTGTGTATATATCTGTCCATGACCCGGCTCTCAGTTGTTTATGATATATACCTAATAGTGAGATTGCTGCATCAAGAAGTATT